CAGTTCCACTCTGTCCTCTAGGGGCGCTGTGAGTCAGAATGGACTCCACGGCAGTGGGTGTGGTTTGGGCTTTGCTTCTGTGCACCATGGCGTATTCAAGGCCCCAACCTGTCAAAAGTGGGTCATCAGGCCTGTCTTCTGAGGCACCTCTAGTCCAACCTTGCAGTCAATAGTCAAGCGCTTATCTGTTCTACCACACAGGGAGTCCTGACTTTGATTACGACTACTACTCACTGCCATTGAGTCGGAGCCGACTCATAGTGACCCTTATTTGGGTTTCCGAAGCAGTATCACTACGGAAGTAGATTGTCCAGCCTTCCTTCTGAGGAGTGGCTGGTGGGTTTGAACCACCAGCCTTCTGGTTAGCAGTCAGATGCCTTAGGCACCATGCCACCAGGCCACGGTAATTAGGCTGAGCTCCAGACACGCATTCCACACATGTCCAGCGTGACTCTCCAGTCGGCCTCAGGGCTGGCTGCTCACGAACTGGAGCTTAGCAGCTGACTTGGGAAGAGGTGGGCTAACGCTGGCTTATCTTCCAGGCTGACTTTGGGTAGGATTAGTGACATGCTACAACCGAGGAGAGCCCTGAGCTCTTGGAGGCAGGACAGGGTGGGTGTAGGAAGCTGAGTACAGGCAGCACTTCCTACCATGCCGTGTGAAGTTGGAGGCTGGATGAACCCCTGGAACTATTTTCTGGGAAATTATCCTTAAACCTCAGTCCAAAAACATCCCGTGACATCTTCTCCAAACCAAAGAGCCCTTTAGTCAGGAACATCTGCCTTGAGGATTGTGCTCTTTCAAGAACTGTATGGGATCAAAGTGACAACAGTAACTGGAAAGGTCATATGGGAACCTCAGGGGGCAGTGAGTTACGTTCAAGGACAAGGAACAAGTCAGAACAGGCAGGTGGGAGTGGTGGTGCAACTCAAAGAATGCAGTCAATGTCAGTGAACTGTCCATGGAGGAACTTGAATCGGAGTGTGTTTTGTTGTGTCTATTCTCAACAACAACAACAAATTAAATAAAATTTATAAAAGGGAAAAGATGGAGGGGCTTTTTTCAAGATGTTCAGAACTTCTGGGTTCATGAAGGTACATAAGACAAACCTCACAGCACTGAGCCACAGTGTAGAGAGAGACAGGTGTGTCACCCACAACGTATCAACAAGGGAGATTTTTCTCTTCTAGTTCCCTTGCTGTTGTTGTGGGGTGGCATCAACCCAATCCCAACTCATGACGACCCATGTGACAGAGTGGAACTGCCCCACAGGGTCTCCAAGGCTGTCAATCTTCCCAGAAGCAAAGCCCAAACCACACCCACTGCCATGGAGTCGATTCTGACTCACAGCGCCCCTAGAGGACAGAGTGGAACTGCCCCACAGGGTCTCCAAGGCTGTCAATCTTCACAGAAGCAAAGCCCAAACCACA